TTTGCAACACACACACACACATATATATATATATATACATATATATACATATATATGTACATATATATGTATATATATGGCAAAGAATTCGCATCCTGAATACGTAAAGAATTCTTAAAACTTGATAAGATAAACAATCCATATTGTAAGGGCAAAAGATTTGAACAGACACTTCACAAAAGAAGATATACAAATGGCCAGTAAAACACATTTGAAAAGATACTCAACACCATGGTCATTGGGGAAATGTAAATTAAAGTTTCAATGAGCTACCGTCTCACATCCACGAAAACGGCTAAACTTTAAAAGGATGGCAACACTGAATTGAGAACAAGGACCAACTGGGAACATAAAATGATAGCAAACGTTTTGGTAAATAATTTGGCACTTTCTTATGTAGTTACTTATACACTTCGACCCATCGTTTCTATCATTTCAGCAAGAGAAATAAACATACATCTACATATAGACTTGTATACGTGAATATTCACAGCAGCTTTATTCACAATAGCCCCAAACTGGAGAGAAACGAAATGTTCAACAGACGTACCTATAGCTCAAATAACGGTATATCTATTCGGTGGAACCGCGCAGCAAAGAGTGACCTACTGATACCTGTACCACCTCGATTTCCAAAACATTATGCCTGGTGAAGGAAGTCAAACACAAAGTGTTCACTCCACGGCATTCCATTTACGTGAATTCTAAAAAAGGGACACTGAAGCTACAGAAACAGCAGATCAGTAGTTGCCTGGGGCCCAGTGGAGGGAGGACTGGCCACAGAGGAATGAGGGAACTTCTGAGGGTGGGAGAATGTTGTACATCTGGACTATGGTGGATTTACAAAGATGTGTACATCTACCAAAACCCAGCAGACCACACTTAAAATAGATGTTTGATTATATGTAAGTTACACCTCAATAAAGTTTGATGTGAAAAAAAGTACCCATTCCCAAAGTTTTATCCTGGCCTCTACACCCTGTGTGGTCTGGCCCCTGCTGGCCTCGCCATCTCCTTGCACGCCTCCCTCTCCACCTTCCACTCTATACCTGCTTCCTGCTTCCTGCTTTCTGCTTTCTACACCTCGGAAACCTCCAGCTCCAGAGACCACAGTGGCTGGGAGCTGAGTTCAGGAACCAGACTCAAACTCTGGGTTTGAAGCAGTGGGAAGCTGAGGAGACCGGTCAAGTTTCTTGACCTCTTTTCCTCAGTTTTCTTATCCATAAACGGAATGGTAATAGTCCTTTCTTCACAATGTCCTGAGGAGGATTCAGTGAGTTGACGCAGCATTTTTGGTGTCTAGCACAGGGCTGGCATACTTCTTCCTGCCATCTGGTTTTATACGGCCCATGAGCTAAGACTTACTTTTACATTTTTTAATAACTGGGAAAAAAGTATTTTTTGACACATGAAAATGATATGAAACTCAAATTTCAACATCGACAAATAAGGTTTTGTTGAAAGAGAACACTCGCATTTGTACTGTCTGTGGCTCCCTTCCCACAAAGTCGCAGACTTAGAAGCTGCATCGGAGACCACATGCCTGCAAAGCCTAAAGTATTTACTATCCAGCTTTTCACAGAAAAAAACCACCACCGCCCTGCCAACCTCTGGTCTAGCATGTGTCCATCTTCAGCGTCAGTCCCACTTTGCATTAGCCGTTCCTTGTATCTGGAAGGGTCTTCCACCAGATCTTAGGGTAGCTTACTCCCTTTCTGTAACTCAGACTGCAACTGAAACGTTACCTCCTTAGAGGTCTTCTGTGGTTACCTTCTCACTCTCCTATCTTTTCACTCTGTTCTAACGTTTGCCATGTCCTTCCCCCCCATGTTCTTGGAACTGAACCTCATGCTTGACTCTCAGGAAGTGCTCAGTAACTGGGTTCCTGGCACTTCCTGACCGAAGGTAACCCAGGAGACTCTGAGCTTGTGGGGGAGCTGGTGTGATGGAAGAGACCATCACTCAGCGGCGCATATGGGTGTGTCAGGAGGTTCATCAGCCATGGCAAGGCTCTGCCCCCGGCCCTGATGCACAAGGAGGGACGTTGAAACCTACCTGTACAATGGGAGGGCTCTGCAGGAGACGGAGCCTTCATCTGAAGCGTGGAGGCTCCCAGGGAGTCCCTTGCATCCACACCATCATCCTCCCTTCCTTCAAAACAGGAAGAGGTTCTGGGTAGGGGGGTGGGGGAGGTGAAGCTTACACAGCATATCACGCAAAGTCAACAAAACCATAATGGTCATATCAAAGAAAGGCCCAGGCCTCAGGGAATCCTGGGACGGCAAGTAGGGGCTGAGCGTGGAGAAGACACAGGCCTCTTCAAGCCACTCTGCACTCAGTGCAACCACCTCCACTCTGCAGCCCAGCCCCCTTCTATCTGCAGGGACCTTGAAGTCGTCAGTTACTCCTCTGCCCAAGTCCAAATGCTTCTGGACCTCCATGGACCTCCCTATTCAAGCCAACTCCCATCCCTCCACCTCCCCCACACTCTCCTCTCCTTCACACTGAAACTTCCTTGAAGACTTGTCTGCGGGCCTTATCTCCATGACCCCGCCTCCCACGTGCTCTCCGCCAGCACCAATGTGCTTTGTCTGTCACAGCTGCCAAGGAAGGACACAGCCCAGAATCCAACATCCCCCATCGGACTTTTTTATACCTGCCCTAACAGGGTGCCTGCTCCATGGGACCCTCTCCCCTGGGCATCTGGGGAGCCGAACATTCCTGTATCTCTCTGTCCTTCTTTCTCAGCTGCTCTGTTGATGAGAACTTGCCCAAGGTCACAGAGCTTAGAAGGGGTGGGGGAAGGTTTGTTCTCTCCCTTCCACCACCACACAAGAGTTAAGTATGGTGGCGGCATAACACACACATGGAAAAGTGCTCAGGGGTCAACCGAAGGGGCACAGGATGGGAACTAGTCTGCACAGACAGGTGAGTGTTATTCAGAAGCCCACGAGGAAGTTTCAAGAAGCAAAGTACAAGAATCAGATTTGCATTTCAGATCAATCACTCTAAGATGAGAAGAAGGGGGGCAAGGGGCTACAACAGAGCCAAGACCAGTGAGGGGCAACTGCTATGATCCCAGAGACAGGCTATGTGGTGGAAGGGATGGACAGGAAGAGCCAGAATCAAGAATATCTGGGAAGAAGTTCTGAGAGAGCCTGGAGGTGAGGGAAGAGACTCCGAGATGTCTTACTTTGGCTAACGAGTGAACCGTGGCACAGGCACCAGGGTGGGGTGCTGCAGACAGCAAGGTGGAGTCACTCGGGTCCAGCGGGGGCCTGTGTCAAGCAGCGACACAGGCAGTGAAGGACACCGCCGCTACGAGATCTCGGCCAGACCAGCATCAGCGGACACCCCGGAAC